GCAAACTGATTCGGTGCTCGACCAGTCTTCTGGGCTCATGGAAATACCTGTAGCGCGAACTTTCGTAACCAGACCGAAACCTGACTTCGCAAATCTCCATTTTGACGGAAATTCGGGCGTAATTTATCCAGCTAACTTACACCTTAGTTTTACTGTAGTGCCAAGCAGAGGGCGTATGAAGGCTCGTGTACTCCTACTTAATGTTCTCAATGAAACTCATACAAAAAGGGCAATATTTCAAAATGAGACTGGTCACAATCGTCCTAACTTTTTTCTGCTTCTTCTCTAGAGAATACACTATTCTGTCCATCTGGCGTCTCACTTTTACTCATCCCACAAAGAACCAGGTCTGAATATCACAGCGGCAAGGGTTTTGCCTATTAACTTAACGCGCAGCGGTATATCTGTCGGCAACAAGTGGCTCAGAGGTCTGATCTACCAATTGGTAGACCTAGATTATTTATACCACTGTCCAGCAACGAAATAACAGAGTTTGGAAGTAAGAAAATGCAATTTTCATACAGACATCGTTAGGAAGATAAAATACGTCTTAAGTTTCAAGAAATAATTTTATTTGTATACCTTGTGCGAGAGAGAAGTTCAAGTGTGAAAGCATGCTGTGCTGACTCATTCTGCTTTCACTGTGTCAGGGTTTACACCATGTCTAATCATCTACTCCGCGCTTTATCGGCCCACTCACCGCTTCATACACACGTACGCTCAAAGGTAATCGATACTTCCGCCTCACCTGATTGGCCGCAGCCGAATGATTAAGCATCCCACAGCCAATACTTGACACATCCTCGCTTTTGCACCTAAGCCGATGGCTTTGTACGCGGCACTTGCAGCGGCTACTGTAAAGCTACCTGAACTCAGTAAAGTTGTTTCAATTCATTCCGGCTTCCCAAACTTGCGGTTTGGGGAATGCTTTTGCTGTCGACACAACAACTTGCGACACAGAAATAAACAATTCTATTTTCATAATTACAGACGAAACTACTACTTCAATATTTCT